TTCAATCAGGAGAGGGCTGGGAGATGTGCTATCGACCATCGAAGTAAGGCCGGCTAACTCATCTGCTCGGCCATTTTCTTCACAGCCAATTTGTTGGACCCTTATTGCCTAGAATCGCTTGATATGGTCTCTTACCAGAGCTTGGTACTTCGCCATTCTGTCGTCTTTAGCTTCGTAAACCCCAGAAACTTGGTTAACCACAAGTTGGGAATCACTATAAACCATTAGCTCGGATACGTGCATCTGAAGCGCGCTCTTGAGCCCTGCCAAAAGCGCCTCGTACTCAGCCTCATTGTTTGATGCAGGGAATACAAGGGTGATAGAGTGTTCGATGGTCAGTCTGTCTGGCGAAATCAGAACTATACCTAGCCCGGCACCGTGACGTGTAGAAGCCCCATCTACGAAAAGTTTCCACATTTCGCCCACAAAGAGCTTCTAACATTCTGAGGGGTCTGGGAGGCTTGCAGGTGGATGGGCGCATGGTCGCTTGGCTGTGCGGCGTCAGGTTCAACGCTGATCGGTTCCACTTCCTCTCCTCCTGGCGATGCAGCGATGCGGCACCGGGCAGAGCAGGTTGGTCGGTTATAACCAACTCCGTCGTCGCATCGCCGGGCTGTAGCGTCGTACTAGCTGAAGGTTCTTCGGCGGGACGCGCAAGTTCTGCGTCGCCAACATCGCCTTGCTGTGTTACTTCGGTTAAATTTGCACTCACCTCCTCGGCTGCCGCCGCAAGATCCACCGGGCAGACGGGATGAATCCCGGGTGAGAATTCAGCAACAAAATCGGCCAATGTCTGGGCCTTGATCGCAGTGCGCGGCTGGAACTTGACGTCAAACTCTCTCTCTCACATGGCTTCTCTGATTCTTTTATTTACTCTCTCTGCACTGCTCTGCATTTTTGTAAACACCATTGTTAATTCACATCATACTAATCAAATTTGAGAAAGTAAAGAGTCAGTATTGTAACTTTATTGTTCTTCATTGTCCTGACTCTTCTTCTTCTTCTTCTTCTTCTTCATCACCATCAGCTACAGCCTCCTGATACTGCTGATACTCCGAAACCAAATCATTCATATTGCTCTCGGCCTCGGTAAACTCCATCTCATCCATTCCCTCTCTTGTATACCAATGTAAGAAAGCCTTCCTCCTAAACATCACCGTAAACTGCTCGGATACACGTCTAAACATCTCTTGAATCGATGTCGAGTTCCCCATGAACGTCCACAATGCTGACTGCCGACGACGGAAGCGAACGTCCTCTCTTCATTGCTCAGTCTTCGACTGATTAGGGTTTTTCAATTGTATGTGGGATCCTATAATTTGCATCTTTTGTGTTCCAAAACTGGAGAATTGTTTTTCTGGATTTTTGCTTATTGTTAGATGGATTAGGATAGTTTGTTTTTCAGGAGTTGCTGACAGTTTAACAACAGTTTGCATGAAGATGTGAATCAGTGACCTTCCTATAAAATTAGCTTCAAGGACTATCCATGTTTGGTTATTACATATTAATCGACCATATCCGTAGTTCCTCTGTGATAAGTGTTTGTTTGTTGAGCAATAGGTTGCACATGAGAAATGCGGGGGCATGGTCTCCCCTCTACTACGCCGTTCTTTTGTTTCTATTATATGTATACACTAGCGTATGCATGTTGTTCTAGATTGTTTGTCGTTTGCATTTCTAAATTTGATATCATAAGAACATGTACAAGAATCCAATTCCGAATTACTTTTTTATGACTCTCTTATAGGTTGGTGTACTGAAATATTATAAATGATTTGTTTTTAGGATTCACTAAATTTTAATGGGTTCCTTATTTTAATAGTCTAATATACACACATATAAAAATACTAAGAAACTTGAACGTATCTTATGAAAGAGTAGATCTGGAGCACACGAAGCAGAAAATTGGAAAGGAAAAAAAATTGATTTTCAATTTGAAGAGCTTTGAGTTTATAAAAATTGAAAGAAAATCTACTAATGTTGAAATGTTGAAATGTTCATTCGTAGGTAAGATGTATCTCATAAAGAGAATGAGTGGTGGAAGATGGACGAGAGAGAATGAGTGGGGAATTAATGGACAAGGTGTGGGTTCTGTGTTTTTAACCATTAAATTGATTTTTTTTTTTTTGATGTCTCTGTTAGTGGGGAATTGATGGACAAGGTGTGGGTTCTATGTTTCTAATCATTAAATTGATTTATTTTTTTTTTTTTTTTGATGTCTGTGTTCTGTTTGTTTTTTTATTTATATAGATTTTTTTATTTTTTATTTATTTTTAATGTAGCTTATGGATTTGGATTTAATTTTTTAAAAAGTTTTAGGTTTGAAACAATGGTTGATCTTTATAAAATAGGTTTTGATTTTAGAAATATATTTTTATTTTCAATTTGATTTATGAAATAGATTTAATTTCTTAATGGAAAATAAGTGTTGATTTTTTATGGTTTTAAACAAAGTTTTTGAAATGGATGTTGATTTTTTTTTTATTTAACAAAATCAAATCACAAATTTAAAATAAAATCGAGTGAAAAAATACAGAGAGAGGAAGATCGAACAAAGGAAATAAAGGGTTTGTTATTTGCGCTCTGAGACGAGATGTAGTGTTTGTTAAGAGATGAGAGAGGTTGAGAGGAGGAAATGAGAAAGAGAGACGTTAGAGAGAGAGAGAGAGTGAATGAATGAGTATTTTAAATACTATACTTTTTAGATGGTGAAATTCTATAAAAAGTTTAATAATAATTTCAAATACAAATTAATATTTTAATTTAAACTTTTACAAATGAATTTGATAAATTATATTTTAACTTAAATAAACCACCATTGTACGATATCTTAAACTGATTTATTATAATTGATTTCTATAACAGTGAAATTATATTATTTTGAATTGATTTTTTTATAAAGAATGTGATACCAATATTAATAATTTATGTTAATTATTTTTTTAAAATATATATCAATATTATTTATACCGTACTTTCAGATACAGACATACACTAATATATATGTATAATATTTGGCTCATGTGAATGAAATAATTCATATTTTAACATGTAGTCCAAAAGCTATTCATTACTATTTCATCACTTTATCAAAAAAGAGTGCTATGTTGTCACACATCGTTTTCGCGAGATGGTTCCCAAACTTTGCAAATGACGACAAATTTTACAATTTTAGTCGCATTAACTACTTATTAATTGACAAATGACAACCAAACAAACATATGTCCCAATCTAAATAAATAAACAAACTTATGACATCATTTTTAATTTTTGTATAATTAAATTTTAATTATTTTAAAATCATTTGAAGGAAAAAAAAAAATATTCTAGAGGATTAGATCCCTGGTGTAGAGTGGATGGTAGCTTTGAGATTTGTAAAGTTTATTATTAATCCCATCTTGACAATTTAAATTATTTATTTTATTAGACTTTGAATATTAATTATTTATAAAATAATTAAATAAATTTAATATTTTTAATTATATAATTTCAATATATTTATTTTTTAAAAACAAACAAAAAAAACACAAATTTTAAAATAAATTATATAATTATAAATATTATATCAATTAATTTTTTTCTCCATAAAACACACAAAAATCTATGAAATAGATAGTTTGAACCCCACACACAAACAGCACCTCTAGAATAGAGGGTCCCGCCCTTAATTAATATCTTCTTCCTATGCATATAGCAGTATTCTTACTAAAATAATACCAGACGAAAAAAATAATGAATAGACCAGGTCATATGATAAGATAATATCAGCTTGGTTTCTGAAACTTAGGGTTGGTTTGGGATGTTCTAAAAAAATATACTTTTTGACTTATTGGTTTATATGGATTGGGTTTGGGTTGGGTTTAATGTGTTAGAGAGGTGATGTGATTTAAATAAGATGATGTGACTTAAATAGGATAATGACTTTTTGACTTTTTGTATTATTTACTAGATGCCAAACTTGACCTTAATGATAAAAGCCAACGCGTCTTAAAGTCAGTGGATAACTTCAAAAAATTTAATAATAAAAAGGAGTAGAGAATGGACAACTTAGGGGGTGTTTGGGAAGAAAAAAAATAGCCTAGTTTAGGCTAAAAATCATAAAAAGATAAAATAGGTTAAAATAGCTAATAAGACAAAATATCACATCAAACCCATAATCATTTCACTTTTTCTCTTACAAACATCACATCCAACTACAAAAAAATCCAATCATCTTCCCAAACACAAAAATTTTAACCTACTAAAATAACCAAAAACTAAAATAGCCTACTAAAATAGCCACTTCTCAAACGAGTCCTCAATCTATTTAAGTGCTCTTCTGAAAAGTTGGAAAAAAATTAATTTTTAATTTTTTATTAATTTTAAATTACATAATTTTTCACATAATTTATTTATAAAAAGACAAAATAAATTAAAAAAATTTAAAATCAATTTTTTACCAACTTCTCAAAACATGGACAACTCAATCTATTTAAGTGCTCTTCTGAAAAGTTGAAAAAAAATTAATTTTTTATTTTTTATTAATTTTAAATTATATAATTTTTCACATAATTTACTTATAAAAAGACAAAATAAATTAAAAAAATTAAAAATCAATTTTTTATCAACTTCTCAAAACACTAAAAAATAATTTCTACAGTTTTAAATACTAATTCCAAACTTAAATATTAAAAATTAAAAATGGATAAGGATTGCTGGCTTGGAATTGGGGCCTAGCATAATACTCAAGGTCTCATTTAATAATTCTTCAATTTTGTATAAAATTGAGAACAATAAAAATCGACAATTTTTGAAAATCTTTTAACGTGTGTCCATAATAGTGATGATCAAGAAATTTCGTTGAACTAATTTTTTTATTTATTTATTTTTTTTATTTTTTATTTTTTTGAGGAATATAAAACTTCATTCATTGAACTAATTATACTTGAATTGCAGCAGATTGTCCAACAATCCCAAAGAATAATAGCAACAGAAACTCAGTTCCAAGAACTATGAACCAAAAAAAAAAAAAGATTGTTAAATAATCCCCTGAAAATAACAGGAAAACATTGTTTCAAATTCCTAAGATGGTCCTTATCTGATCAGGGGGATGCCTAGCCAAGGACTTGGGATCTGGGTACCGATTCTTTGGATCCATGATCGCCTTGTAAATAAGCTCGTACGCTTCAGCCAGTAATCTAGCCACTTGAATACAAGTTTCAGATCGTAACTTTGGTACCTGCATCTGCTCAAACTCTGGCAGAGAACTCTCGCTTCCTAAAATAAGTCCAAAGAACGCCTTCAAACACTCTGAAAGAGCAGTTGGAGACGTGTCCTCCATCTCAGCTAATAGGATTTCCTCGCTGTTCAATGAATTTTGGAAGTGAGACATCTTGTTTGACAAGCCACATCTTCTTAGAATGGTACCGACTTCTTTTTCCACAAGACTGTTCATGTGATTATCTATCATTGTTCCGAGCTTTTTCACATATTCAGATGCAACCTCGTGTCCTAATAATGGTTGCTGGATGGCGCACAAGCAGTTGATGAGGAAAATCTTGGAGGGTGTTTCACTAGTCTGCATGAACCCACAATATCTCAGGTTACAAGACTCCGAAGCAATAACAAAAAATACATGAGCGAAGTGCAAACTGTAGCAATATAACACATTGTCTATGGACAGAAAGAAATGAACAAAGAGGAATGGATCAAAGATTGATGGTCTAGATCATAATGACATCAAATCAATCAACTACACCAACATTTAAACCCACAAAGATCTTGAACTAGTTAAAATAACTTCTATCAATGTGTGTGGAAAGCATTAAATTCTAAACTAGCAAAGAAGAGAAGGAAAGAACAGAAAGTCTAGGGGGGATTAACTGTGAATTGTTTGGAATAATTCAGCACTTCGCATATTATATGGGAAAATCAAGATTTTCTGTCTCACAAAAATGAGTGATCAGCTTAATGTAGAAAAAGGGGGATAAATTGAGACAAAAAAAAGTCCAGAGAATTCAATAGAACAGGTTAGGTCACCCAATCATATGTAGTTTGCAGACTGAAGTCTGATGCGCCACGTGTAATTGGAACCTACAGCTGTTTCTAGACCAGCAATCAGTTTGTCTAACTATTAAGCATGTAATATAAATGTATAAACAACTTTCACGAGCAGCACAGCATAAAGTAAACGAAATTCCAGTACAAGCATTGAGAAATCTGAGATCTAACAAGGTGAGAATACAAGGCGTAAGCAAATACAAACCTGAGACGTAGCTAAAGTGTTGCTGTTTGCCAAAATTGCATCAACAGATGATTTACTGAGTTGGCTTGGGTCAGAAGTAGTTCTATTTCTTCTAAAGGAATGAATAGCTCCTTTGGACTTGTGTGCTTCTGCTGCTTGTTCACATATCTGCAATAATTGGAAATATGCATATATTACATATATACATAGAGAGAGAGAGAGAGAGAGAGAGCAATTGATGCAGTCAAGTTGATGTGAGACCCATGGTAAGACGATAAATTGATCCACATTAATGTAAAGAAAATAATTTTAACGTCAAATTGGTGGAATAGGATGAAGCTCTGTTTACCAAATTGATGTAGAACACAGTAGGGGAGGGAGAGAGAGAGAGAGAGAGAAGAAACACCCAAGAGGCCACAGCCTTAAACACTCCCAATATTATTGAATCAAAACTGATTAATACTAATTTCCCGTCCAAATTTTAAATGGTGAGTGATGAAGCACCACATTGAAGCATGAGTTTAAGTCCAAGGACTTACTTGCTGCAATTAGAAGATGAGTGAGCAAAGTGAAATTCAGATGTCTGAGCGTGAAAAGTGTAACTTACCCAAAAGTTAAATACTGTGGGTGTAAAATTTGCTTATAATTAGAATGTAAATTTTTTGTATTTGTCTCAAAATTTTGCAGATATCTAGCACCTATGAACTTTGTATTTGTCTCAAAATGAAGCAACTAGGAGCAGGTCTGTCAATTATAAGGGAAAAAACATCATCAAATGTAAAGCATAAGACACCTGAATAATAGGATCTAGTAATGCAGATATCACCGGATCAAAGTCAACTAGGAGCAGGTCTGTCAATTATAAGGGAAAAAACATCATCAAATGTAAAGCATAAGACACCTGAATAATAGGATCTAGTAATGCAGATATCACCGGATCAAAGTCAGACTTCTTTCCTGAAGCAGGAACCATCATGCCATCATGCGTCTCAATTATCTCAAGCAATACTGATACTCCTTCCCTCACTGCAGGTGGTGGAGAAAGATCAACAGCAACAAGGGGTGGATACCGCAACAGCTTCTCTCCTCGAGTTTTCAGAATGTCAAAGAATGTTTTCTGAGAAGCATCTTTTAGTGCCCAAAGTGTGTTACAAAGGGCTGTTTCTCTCCCCAACAAATCTGATATCTGTAAGAGAATAAGCTGTTAAACAAGCAAAGAAATACCCACAAGACAACTGATTCATCCAAAAGTGGATTATCATTCAACTCACAGTGTAGCTGTAAAACTCCAGGGTATTACTAAGTTTGTATGAAATTATAATACTAGGTTGCGACTGCAAAACTTGTTCAACTCTAACTTTAAATGGCCGGCAAACTCCTTCAAAAATCCTGTCTAGAACAAACGTCAAGTCAGTCTCATTTTTTCCTATATCACTCTCTAAACCGTTGGAGGAGAATCGGCGTGCAGTCGGGCCAGTATCAACCACTGCATCTGGATCTAGCAATGCAAGGACAAGTTCTCTTTCAGATGCCAATGCCTGCAAGAAAAGCAACAGAATTATGCCATAAGGTAATTCTTACACAATAAAAACAGTTTCAGCTCTCAAAAGATTGAAAGTAGAAACAAGGGAAAAAAAATAAGGAATGTGTGCCACACCTGATGTAGCCACCCTAGCATGTCACCTACATAACGTAAGGGATCATGAGCATGTACTTCAATGGGTCTGGGCATTCCACCAGGTCCTCCACGGGTAAGAGCACTTATAAACCTCCTAAATAATGCATTATGCCTCATATTTGCCACCTGTATGATAACAATGGAAATATGTATGTAAACTGCTAGGAAACTCGATGGGTTTTGTACAATTTTGAATGACTCGATATTTAAAGCTTTTATAATATAAAACTACCTCTTCTGCACAATACTTGAAAAGGACAGGCCTTTCTTTGAGGCAGCGCACTGCTGTTCTCAAAAGTTCACTGACTTCAGGATTATCAGTGTCACCCAGTCTCCTACATTCTGCCTGAACCCACCTAGATGAGGAGAGAAGAGCCTCAAAAATAAATTTTTTTAAAAAATATATGCAACAGCCACAGAACTATAATAAACTAATTTCGAAAACTTAAAATGAGAATATCCACAAAAAAAATTTCCTATTCAGTTTTTGATACATAGAAAAACCCTTGAAATTATGAAATCACCAAAATATTATTGTGCCATTGACTACTAATATTAAAGAGACAAAATTGAACAGCAGCATATGAACTCAAAAGAAACATAAAATAGGACTGAGTTAACTCAATAATTCGCAATCAATGTAATTGACAAGTGACCCATTTTTCACATTTATAACTTAGAAAAGAAATGGAAATAGAAAGCCTGTATGTCTTAAGTTTTGAAGTCGTAAGTAGAAAAAAAATTAAATTAAATTAAAGTTTCAACTTTCAAGGGTTTAGAGTTTCCATTTTTTTCCCCCTGATGAATGCACTATAGACATGCACAGCACCACCAACCTTGCCCTGCTCAAACTATAGCAGTCAAGGGCTGGTTTTGTGCAGCTGTATTAACTTACGGCCTGACAATACTTGTGCCAACCAGGTCGGCCATCTGCAATTAAAATCCCAAAAGAAAAGAAGGATGTGTACCAATCCATACTTTCTTTTTAAAAATTTTAATCTTTGAGCCTCATTTTATTGACTTCAAACATGTGGCAAGGCCTTGTGTGTGTGTGTGTGTCCAAGCAATAGACACATACTTTGGCATGTGTTTGGAACTTGTGTAGTTTTCAACCAAAAAAAAAAGGATAAAAAAGGCATGTTTTATGTGTGTTGGTGTTTGAGACGAACGCAGCATCCTAGGAGGCACATCCGTGCTTCCTCCAGATAACCAATTATATTAAGAGGTGAAATATACTTCCGGTACCAAATGAGAGTAAGGAGATACATAATAAATAAAAAGATAAAGTCTCTCAAGCGATTGAAACTATAGTTTAAGAGGCTATACAGACGTTTTCATAAAAAAAATAAAAAATAAAACTTCATATTTTGGACAACACACTAGCAAGATAAACAATGAATATCAATGAAAAAAAGATGAAAACTGAGTAGTTTCCATTCATCTAAAGCTTCACCTGCACAGGCGCTCATAGGCTCCTTCTTGGTACACAGCCATCATATCCATGAGCTCCAAACCTGCACGCTGAAAAGGGTCCTTGGGTAAATTCCATGTATTATTTTTTTTATTTTTCTATTTAGAAGGGGGAAAATAAAGAAAGACCTCCAACCAACAAAAGTAAAAGACCATCAACCAAAAGTAAACAGCTTCATAAACTAAGAATCTAAGCTCAGCTACCTAAAATATTGATTAGCACTGACTGCTTGCAGAAAGTAGGCATCCAAAGGCAAGTCAAATGTGCTACTCGCCCTCAGAGCTGAGATACAAGCAAAAACTAAGAGATTTGTAAGGTAAACTGGAGGCCTTCAAAAAGAAGCAATCTTTCAGCAACATAAAATTATCCACAACAATATTACTATAAAGTTAACTAAAAAAAAATCTATGAGCTTTCTCGTTTTTTAACTTGACATGGCATTTTCAGATGGTATATATAAACTTCCTCACTAGTAAAACTCCAGAACTATGATTTCCCTGGGCCTAATCAAGATGGTAAGGTAAGTTTCTAATAATCTATTCAAATCAATAGAGAAAAGGGTTGTCCAATGGGAAGTCCTATCTGACATACACAAAAGGACATCAAAGTTTCATAGGAGAAATGGCATGTACAGCATTACAATACATAAAAATTATGTATTACCATATATACATACAACTCCGCCGGTCTTAAGCCCGGGTTAAGGAGGGTTGTATGTTAGATAGCTGACAGCTAACATGTAAAAAAGCTAATCGGACCCCTTATGACAATGAATCCTAATTTGAATCGTTTAAATGCTAGGTCGTTCCCCTCAAGTGACGCGTTGCGCCTGCCTCTGGGTGTTTCGAAAAGTGAGCAAGGACATCGCATCGACGCTTAGGTGCGATGAAAAATGGGCAAAGGTTCCCGCGTTTTTCTGGACGAGCGCGGGTAAAAAAGCCAGTCCAAGACAATAGGTTTAGGGTAGCCACTTGGAATATAGGAACCTTAACTAGTAAAATGATGGAATTGGTAGTTGTTATGACTAGGAGAAGGGTTAGTATAGCTTGCGTACAAGAAACTAAGTGGACGGGTGAGAAAACTAGGAAAATTGAGGATACCAGTTTTAAACTGTATTATAGTGGTAAGGATAGACGCAGGAATGGGGTAGGAATCATAACTGCCTAAGAATGAACATTTTCATTATTTATGGTCGATTATCACAACAGCGGGGGAGATTGATGTGGATGTGGCTTCTAAGATCAAGGCGGCATAGTATAAGTGGAGAAATGCGTCTGGGGTACTGTGCGATAAACGAATACCCACTAAACAAAAAGGTAAGTTCTATAGAACGACTATTAGACTAGCGATGTTGTATAGAACGGAGTGTTAGACAACCAAGAAACAAAATGTAAATAAGATGAGTATGGCTGAGATGAGGATGCTAAGGTGGATGTGTGGCAATATTAGACAATACAGAATTAGGAATGAGTGTATTCGGGAATGGGTAGGAGTAGTACCGATAGAAGATAAGTTGAGAGAGAACCGATTGAGATGGTTTGGTCACATTCAACGGAGACCAACAGAGGCAGTAATGCAGAGATGCGATACTATAACGGCAGATGGTAGTGTTAGGAGACGAGGTAAGCCTAGATTAACGTTAGCTGGCGTTGTAAATAGATATATGGATCTACTTAATTTGACTAACGAAATGGCCGTTGATAGAGATGCGTGGAGAAGAAGGATTCATGTAGCCGATCCCATCTAATAGGACTTAAGGCTTGGTTTGGTTTGGTTTGGTACCATATATACATACAGAGAGATAAATAAATATACACACAGACAGAAACACAACTACATCTCATTCACACACACGACATAAGAAAAAGGTTAGCTGATTCATGTGCCTCAAATAATATTTCAACATTAAGTCCTGCAAACTCACATATTTTCTTTTCTAACAAATTTTAGATTTTATTTATGTCGTTTTCCCAACCAAAAAATCAAAGCATCTGCAACTACCACTATGTAACCGTCCTTAATATACTTGCCACTTTTTGATGTTCAGGCACTGAACATCCAAAGCCTATATAACTTACTTCAGCCCTATATCAGGCATCCTCTTCATAATCACATTAAAATGATAAAAATTGAATTCTCACACATCTGCCATTATGGAAAAAATAATAGGATCAGAGTCAAATGAACTGTACATGATCATCGATATGAGAAATCATTACAAAACTCTATCTTAAATAACAATATGAAGTGCAGATACCAAGCTCTGCATTCCTGTATGCAATTGTATGGCATATTTCACGCTGCTGTAAAGTGCAAGATCATGACTAGAGAAAGAGAGTTTACCTGATGATGAGTTCGAAGCAATACTTTGCAGTTGGTATGAATTTCTTGGACATGAGAAAGTGCCTTAAAAAAATTCTCATTCAGTTCTGCTTCCCTCAGCGCATTTATCTATACAAGGAACAGCCACTATCAATGGATACAGATAATAAACATAATGGATATATATTTCACAATGCCGGGAAGAGCAAAGCACAATATCTAATGACCAAATTTAATTTATACCTCTTCATTAGAAAGCTGATAATCACGAAGGAAGCATGAGACAATCTCCTGTCTTTGTGTAGTAATTTCAAGTTCCTGTTTGAGCCTCTCTGTGGTACTGATTATATCCCCAGTGGTAGCATTACAACTGTTCAAAGCCTTTGCAATCCTGCAGTTATACAAAGTTAAAGTTTCCAAATGCGGTCTTTTGATCAGCAAAAAAAGAAAATATTACTAAAGGAAAAAAAAATATATGAGGGCAACCCAAAGCAGAAGGAGAAAAATGAAAAAACCAAAATTACTTATCCCACACCAATGTTGTCAGTATCTTACGATTCACGATATGTATCTTACAATTTGATACCTTTCAAAAGGAAATCGATACTATCACCAATGCGTATCTTAAATTAAATGTATCTTACGATACATATACGATACGTGATACGATATACAATACACGATGCATAATGCGATAGATATGTTGCATAATACTTCAATTTTTTTAGCAAATTTGAAAAAAATATATATATTCAAATTATTTTAAGTAAATTAATATTGTCAAAAATTTTCATTTTTGGTAGGAGAATGGTACTTTTTAGTTTATTTCTCGACCTTTTTGACGTATCTATTGTATAGTATCAAGAATCTTGCATTACTAATTTAAGCCTTGTGAAGATAATATGTATTGTTGCATGTATATATTTAATTTGAGAAACTTTACTTTTGCAATTGACAGAATTATACATTGTTTAGTGTTTTATTCTCATAAGATATTTGTTTTTTCATAACTATATTTATTTTTCTACCTATTTCTAAAGGTATTAAAGTATCTTACGATACATGATATAGTATGACATGCGCTTTAGAAAAATTAAAAAACGATACACGATTCGTATCCCAATTTGACAACAATGTCGCACACAGCTCTACTGTCTCTAGTAGTAAAAAACAAATGAATCCCCTTGAAAGGAGATGATATTGAAGCCCAAAAAGAAGACAAATAACAAATTCTATCCCACAAAGTTTCTAATTCTTCGAACTTCTCCTTGAAAATCCCAACATTTCTTTCCAACAAATCACTCAAAAAAATAGCACAAATTACACAAACCCAAACCACTTGAGCCTCTTATTAAAATTTATATGGTCTAACATTTAAAAGCTCATTGAAGCAAGATTATGCACCTTACAAATTTATCAACTAGGTATCTCCCTTTCTCATCTAAATCTTCCCAAGAAAAGAAGTAGGAAAATAAAAAAGGCGAGCTCCATAGAATGCTCTTACACTCCGTTTGGATGGGGGTGATCTGGTGAGAAATGATAAGAAATGCTAAGAAAGAGAACTCTCTTACTAAGCCTATTTCATTTCTCACCAAAAGTGATGAGATTTGGTAAGAAAACAACTTGATTGGTTTTAAAATATTTTTAATACCAAGATTGCTCCTTGACAAACCAAAGAAGAAAAAGAAATCTCATTTTTCTTTTCTTTTCTTTTCTTACCCTACGATCCAAATGGAATGTTATTGAATGTAATTCTTTTGATCGAGAATTTTTATTCTACCAAATAGCAAAGAGCCCCAGTGGCAGCAGCCATTGCAGTTATTATCATCAAGCTTTTCCAGGCTAAAATTTGGAAATGAAACAAATGGTGTACTAAAAACAAAATACAGGTTCAAACACATTAACATACAAATTTTATACTAATCAAAACAAGAAAAATCACAATAATTTGAGGAAGAAAAAAAAGAAGCAAGATCAACATCTTACTTGTCACAACATTCGGCCAGCGAATTAACCTCCTCCTCGACCCGATCCAAAGCCTAAAATCCAATTTTTACAAGAATTCCAATTGAGCACAAATTCAAGAGAGAGAAAGAGAGATTTAGAGAGAGAGACCTGTTGGGCGGCATCGGAGGCGAGAAGGAACTCGAGGTTGATGGAGAGAGAGCGCTTCTCGATGGTGGATCGGAGGTTGCGGCGGACCTGGGGGTTGTTGTCTGTGTAGAAGCTGGAGAGAGTGTTCAACGACGCAAGCAGATCCGGTGTGTCTGTCCTTGTCTCCAACACCTTCTTCAGCTTCCTTGACAGTCCCGGCGCTAGTGCACTCGTCGTCCCCATTTCCCTATATCTATATCTATATATTATGTATCTCTCTACACAGTAATGCACTCAATTCTCTGGTTTTTCTTCTTCTTCTTCTTCTTCGATCTGATGATTCTGATTCTGATTCTGATTCTGATCTCTCTCTCGCTCTCTTCCTCTCTGAGTTTCTCGCTCGTTAGCGGTTCCAAGTCTGCAAAAAAGCGAACGAGTCAGCGGCCCAGTGGGCCTATTTGGGGCTGTCCGAATCCAGGACATCCATTTTCGGACCAATTAAGGTCCACACTACAGCATTAATTTTTTTTTTTGTACTTTAACAATTGTTAGGAGAAGTATTTTTATGGTCACAAAAATAGGGAAAAAGGTAAATTATATTTTTCACTCTTCACTCTTCAATTTTAAATTTCACTTTAGTTTGTCACCTTAGTATGAGAAATCAAAAAAGAATGTGAAAGTTGGTTTTACCATAGCGGTTAATCCAAGTTGGACCCAATTTTTAAAATAAATATTGCCCATAAAACATTATATAGCCAAAAATTGTTGGCCCAACCTGTCCTTATTGGGTCTCTATTAAGATATCAAGCCTGCTTAATGGTCAAAAGCAAATATTCTAGGTGGATTAGATATTTTGGGCTTGCCCTACTGTTAGTTTTCTATGGGTAAGCTCTATTGGCCTAAACCTTTGTCTTTTTAAGATGTCAAGTGTTCAAAACTTCTTCCTCCCTTACATTACAAAGTATAAAACATAAATATATTATATATAAATAGACAATTTAAGTAATTGTATAGTTTAATCAAGTTAAAAGTCTCCATTCAAAAAACACAAAATAAGTTACAAATAGTTTGAATGAATATGAGAGAGCAAAGATCAAGGGATTAACTTGGTATATAAGGCATTTCTAAAGATGGCTCAATTATTAAGTCACTTAACCTGTCTTTTAAGACTCATGTGAAAATTTCAAAAATTCTTATTGTCAAGGGCTCAAACTTTTCAAAAACTTATAGATAAGATCTCATTAAATACTTTGGGCTCTCTAAAAAATCTGAAACCACTACAGGACACTACTTATTAAGTGTGATATTTGAATACGAGTCTTATTATTATACCAAACAGTTTTCCTTTTCACCAATTTTTTAAACAAATAATAATAATAATAAATAAAAACTCAGAGAGAATAACTTTGCTATGAACACCACCACATGCACCACATGAACCAAGTGGTACACAACGTGGTGTCAACAAATTTATTCAAGGGAGAGAAGGTTAAAGGTACTATTTTGAATTTAATACGTTGTCTTACCTTCTAGATAATTTTTTATATTTTTTCTGAGAAAGACTTTTTGTTATTTGGGATTCCAAAGCAGCCTTCAATGCATGACACAATTGCAAGAAAAAGGGGCGAAAAAAAAAGACCCTAAGACCCTGCATTCTCTTTTCTCAGTCCATCACGTTTAGTTTAATGGCCAACCTTTTTCCTCACCCTATGAACATTGACATGACAAGTAAGTTTTGGTGATGACAAGTAAGTTTTGGTGTAAACTAATTAAAACTTTCAGAGAAGATTAACTTAGTTGCATAACTTTAAACCATTCAATGTGGTCCATCCTTATCAAATTCTATGGGTAACAGGAAAACTACAAAATAAACTTAAAAGAAATACTTGGTGATCAAAAGTTTAATGACATAATCTTTAGCTACTTTGCATGCATAAAAAGACCTTGCTACTTGATGCATTTAAAATTGGCTCATATGTATCCTCTAGAAAGTGTAGTCACCCTATCACCAAGAATATTAACAACTAATGATCTAAGGCCATGTTTGTTTGGGTGGACATGAGCTTGGAATTGGACTAATAGTCCAATAAAATTATTAATCCGATGTTTGGTTAAACAATTGAAGTACGGATTAATTATTTTAAACTTGACTATTAGTTAAGATAGTATTGGCTTATTTTTCCTACGAAGGAAAATATCATAAATGCGAGCGTGCCAGCAAGGATTGAAAAATCCTTACAGATTAAATTCAAGCCAATTATCAAGCGATTGCGTTGACGGTTCTTTTGCCTCAACGAAGAGGACTTCAAAATTGTCAAGTGTGGAGAAAAGAAAAAGTAAAAGAAGAAGGAGGAACGGAGAAAGACGATTGAGTGAACAATCAAAGTAATAATTACTTACCTCTACTCCTATGCTTCGAGGAGAAAGTGCATAAAATGCTTCGAAATGGAAATGCTGAAAATAAATGCTTCGAAATATAAATCTATGTTAAACTACTCCTAAGATAAGGAAAATGACAAGAAATATTGAAATCAATTGTCTTTGATTATGAATTCTGGATCCCCTTACAATGTAGCCATTAATGGCTATTTATAGAGGAAAAAATACAGCAATAACTACTTAGTAACTATCAATTTCTTCCATCTTTATTCTCGTCTTGCCATGTGTCCTTCCACTCATCCATTTTGCCCTTCCACTCATCCACTTTGTCCTTCATATTCTCCATCATCTCTATAACTTCTTTTAACTTCCAAATGAATAAAAGGATGCCACGTGTCCTGCAAAAAATTACAGATTTATGGTGCCAACAGATAGGATACATAATCCAACGGATTGGTAATCCTAGGACTATTAGTCATGGGAATACTAATCCAGTCCGCCCAAACAAACATGACCTAAGTGTTTTGTGAACAACTTTGCTACAGACATGTAATTAGACACAAGAAGGGTGTCTATGTAACTTTTTCTTTTTTCTTCTTTTTTTTGTCCTTGTACTCTCATTTGTGTAAATATTAGAGTGACCCAATTGAAATTTGAGCATGAACTAGGAAACAAAGGATCTCAACTTAGGAAAATGATCAACAAATAAAAGAATTATATAGAACAGTATAAACTTGTATACAAGTATTGAATAGCGTTTATCAATTCATATCTTGAGATAATTTGATTAAGCTCTATAACGAGCAAAATTCTCGTTTGTGTTTCTAAAATATACGTTTAAGGAGAAAGTTTTGCAAATGAAATTATAGAGTCGACTAATGTGCTAGCACTACTAATTGATAAAAACAAAGGTTCATCAATGTGATTTATGTATTTATAATAATAATTATATAATTATACCATTTTGTATAAATGTTTTTATGTGTATAAATACTACTCATTGCAAAAACATGAAATCTAAGATTAAATTTAGTTGATAATTAAAATGATCATGCTTACGTGAGAATGAGGAGTATTGTGCGCATGCTTTGTAAGCATAATATGAAAATGGTAGATTTTTCTATACAAGCAATGATACCAACTAATCATATTTCTTCCACTTCCCACAATCACAAACTAAGATTTGGTTGTTTACTCTCTCTATCTTTACTATACATAAACAGTTCATAAAAATATCAAGATGATCATTTTTGTTTATCACATTTTATTTATTTCTTATTTGTTATAACTGTATGAGTTTAATAAGTTCTAAGAGCATCTCCAACAGTAGTAGGCATTTTACCTATCTAAATATTACTATAAAGTATATATTTTATTTTGCCTATCAACTGTTTTATGTTTTTACTCCAACCATACTCTTTATTTTAGCTATTAATCCAAATACTATTAATTTTATAGAATGCCACGTCAACAACAAAGATGGAGGGAAATGATCCTAATGATTGAATACATTTTGCCTAGCGTTGAAGGCTAGCTACATGTAGCTAGTGAATATGAGTTGAGCCAAAATGCCTAATCATATGCCTAATGCGTTGGAATTGAAAAAAGTGAATCATACTAGGCATTTTAACTAACAAGTATTATATGCCTAGTGCATTGGAGATGCTCTAACACTTATATCCGTTATATTAATACAGTGATAATAAATAGGGAAAATTACTACAACAGTATAATAGAAAATTTTGAATTGCATCCCATAAGATGACTTGCACTCTCCATATTTGTATGATTTTTTTTTCCTTGCCCCACTATTATGTAATTCTCCCTAATAAATAAAATAATAAACAAAATATGATAAATAAATGTCATCATTTTACCATTATTGAAAAATCTATATCACTATCAAACACAAGCATTCCCAACATTATAGAGAGAGAGATACATAAATCATTTCAACAATAATAACGACCATGATTTCTCACTTTCTTATCTTCAGAAAGAGATAGTAGTTTATGATAATTATTATTATTCTATGTATATATCAGCAGCACAAGTGGAGGAGTACAGTACAACTAAAGCAAAGAATCAGCAAGAAAGAAAGAGAGCATACACGCGTGGTCTATGTGGGTTCGCTTGTCTGCAAATCTCTTAAACTTGGCCTCTCTGTAATTGCTTACATGTCATTCTCCTCCATTTCATCCCACTTGCCTCTCTCTCTCTCTCTCTCTCTCTCTCTCTCTCTGTTGGTATCCATCACATGGGTGTGCAATATACTAAAGAGACTGGTCATGACAATGCATACTTTGTTCTCAAATCATTTTCTCTAGATTTTCCTAAATATTAAAAGTTGTTGGATTTTATATTTGGCTCAAAAATTTTATGACAATAGGAGATTTTCATATCATTAGAATCTCGAGTTATAATTTAATGGTTATAAATATTTTTAAATAAAAAAAAACTCAAAAAAAGATGATTCTTAGTCACTGATGACTGTTCGTTTGGGATGCAGGTTGATTTTTTGACTTTTTAACTATTTTAACCTGGGGCTAAAAAGCCTAGTTTGAGATAGTTTTTTTGGGTTTTTTGACTTTTGTGAGAGAAAAAATGAAATGATTATGGTTTGGATATGACATTTTGTCTTATTGACTTTTTAACTTATTTTGTCTTTTTTTGACTAAAATAGCCAAAAAGTCAGGCTTTATGCCAAACGAAGGCATACTAATAGAATCAGAGAGAGACGGGCGATAAGGAGGTTCTAGCATCTTGAAAAGTTTGAAAAAATCAACTTATGCCTCCGTTTGGGAAGTGGGTTGGCTTTTTGGCTTTTTGGCTTTTTTGGCTATTTTAGCCTGGGCTAAAAAGTTTGGTTTGGAAAGGACTTTTTGGCTTTTTGGCTTTTTTGATTTTTTTTGTGAGAGAAGAGTGTAATGATTATGGGTTGGATGTGATGTTTTGTTTGTTGTGGCTAAAATAGCCTGTTTCGTCTTTTGTGGCTATTTTAGCCCCAACCCAACTTGC